GGGTGCTGATGGTACTGGGGGGTTGTGGGAGGAGGGGGGGGGAGAAGGAGGAGTCTGAGGCAGCGAAGCACAAACGGTGCGCGTCTTGCAATCTCACGCCACTTTGGAGTAGTCCTCGGACCACGTCGCTGCATTTCAATTCTCTCGCTTGCTGCGTGTTCATTAACATCGGGGGGGGGGGGGGGGCGCGCAGCCGTACGGACGGGGGACGGTCCACGCGGCGAGTTCTTCGCTCCACGAGTTGGTGCTGTGACAGCCGACCAATACTTCGAGGAATCCGCCGGCTGTGTGTGTGTGGGTGGGGGGGGTAAGACGTGATGGCTCAAGGGCGCGCAACTGCAACTGCGAGGTTCAGCATCGAGTCTCTGTTGGCGTCCACGTGCGTACGAATACCGTCGTCGCCAGTCATCACCATCATCATCGCCGCTGTCACCTTTTGGCCGAATCGTCTTCCCTGGCTTCGTGCCCTCCTATTTCGGGAGTCCCCGAACCGTACCCGGGCAGCGCGCTGCATCCAGCCCTGTGCCCGCTGCCCTTCCCGCTGCCCACCATGCCCCTGAAGCTGCCGCTGGGTCAGCCCGCACCGCACTGCTGCCTGTCCGTGACCTGCGTGACCAGGTCGTACCAGAGTCTGGCTCTGCCCTTTGGGGTCGGGTCGCCGAGGTGCGCCCACGTGCAGGAGGCGCGGGGCTTGGGCGCGCGGTCCGCGGCATCTCGCGGCAGGGAGGGAGGAGGAGGAGGCGGAGATGCGGGCGAGGAAGACGCGGCGAGCGAGAGGAGGGAAGGGCGAGAGGAGAGGGCGAACAAGACGAGAGAGTGGCAAGAGAGCTCGTCACCTCTTCAACAACAAGAACAACCACCGCCGTCATCACGGCACACGTCGCGACGCTCAGGTGCGTAAATATTGTACGGGGGGTGGGGTGGGGGGTTAGATACGTGTGTTAATTTCCCTTTTTTTAAATCGTTTTCTCCACGCAAAAAAAATTCCCCCGATTGAGCTATTGGCATCGTTTCAGAGACGAAGAATGAACGAATTGAATTTGGAACTCTCAAAGGGCAGAGAGCGGCCCGCGTAAGCGGATGTCGCGGAGCCAGCTCGGAGAACCCTGCAAGTGACATCGCGTCGGCACAGGGAAGGGGGCGGCACGTTTTGTACTGGGCTCGAAAGGATATAAAGCCAGCCAAGTCTGCACGTGCAGCGCTTTGAATCGATCAACAGCTGGATGAAGGCCGCCCCACGCTGTGCGCTTCATATTGGGGGGAGAGGAGGGTTATTGGACAATACTCCACCACGCTGGTCAGTGCGGGGTGGTGAAAGCGGGAAGCGTAGACCCGGGACACACAGAAGTACTGTACAACATCTTCTTGGTTCTTTCGGTAAAGTCACGTAGAATGTAAATAATAAAATAAATAAAAACATAATTAAATAATTCTCACGACGTTTCGGCCACAACGCAAGCAGCCGTCCTCAGGTGGAGAACAGGTCTGTCGAGAAGACAGACAGGTCTGTCGAGAAGACAGAGAACAGACCTGTTCTCCACCTGAGGACGGCTGCTTGCGTTGGGGCCGAAACGTCGTGAGAATTATTTTATTATTTACATTCTACGTGACTTTACCGAAAGAACCAAGAAGATGAATCCCTGTAGTCACGAAAGCTTTAAATCGATACTGTACAACAATTGACGTTGCTGGACTGCTCCCTACTGCTCACCACGCAGCCTCTCTTGACAACCTGATTGCAAACGGTGGCCACCCACCCAAAGCCATTGTCCAGGCTCAACGCCTGCTGAGCTTGCTCCCGATGTGTTAGCGAGATTGGGCACATTCCACGCGTCTCGCTTGGTCACAGGGTGACCACGTGCCGTGCGGAGTGATCCCAAGTGCACGATCATTTTATCTCGATCTTCTTGGTTCTTTCGGTAAAGTCACGTAGAATGGAAATAATAAAATAAAAATAAAACATAATAAAATAATTCTCACGACGTTTCGGCCACAACGCAAGCAGCCGTCCTCAGGTGGAGAGCAGGTCTGTCGAGTAGACAGAGTCTGAATGACACACTCCAGGCCTGGAGCGACTATTTAAGTTGGGATGGAGGGGGGAAGGGCGCCTTGACAAAAAAATGTGCATATCAATAGGAATTTAGCATATTTATGGGAAATGCAGATATGCGATTAGTACTACTTGTGAAATGCGTAGGAGGTTTGGCGGGGGGTTTAAAGTCATTATCTCGAATTGAGAATACAATGTCTAATCAGACTTCGGGCAAACGGAATCGCTAGACGACATGATGTAACTATACACTATGCTATACGTGTTGTTCTGAAAATGTTTTCCACAAATCTTGATTTGAAGCTTTCGTGACTGCAGGAATCCATACTCTTGGGTTCTTTCCGTAAAGTCAAACCTGAAGACGGTCGCTTGTTATTGCGATCGAAACGTTGTGATCTATGATTTTTTCTACCTACGTGACTTTACCGAAAGAACCAACGAGTATGTTTTCCACAAACTTTTGAAATGAGTGTTCACATCCAAAAATGCATTTTGTTGCTTTTAAATGCGAATTCGCTGCACGTGAATGAAAACAAAATAATTTATGGGCAACTTAAATTTTGTGGCACTTCGGGTCTTAAATTCCAGCCGGGTCTCTTCGGATCCGTGACTGAGAAACGAATTACGAATCCGGAACACCACATCCAGTATACTAACCCTTGTCGCCGTGGCTGTGGTAACCGGTCACGTTACAACCTACTTCAGCCTACGCAGGAAACATTCTGTGAGATCGTGTGTGGAAAAGAACTTCATAGCTCATCGGATTCCTCCACTCGAATAAAGATTCCGAGTGTGAATTCAACACGTGCATGGCTCTCCGCTGTGATTTGGGGCCGTACCGCGTGTCGTTCGGCATAATGTCCCGACGTTTCGCCCCCCCCCCCCCCACGTTGCTGGGGGGGGAGCATCTTCCGGTGGCTGAACATCTGGTTTCAGTCGATGAGAAGCTCCCAGAACGGGTGCAGCGAAAAGTCGTACATCGCACAACCGAACACAATGTGATACAGAATCCCCCCAAAAAAAACACACCGGTTGGCTATCAACTCGGCACATGCGTGCGTGGCTTTGACATCCACCCCGTCGACCTCACGGGGGCAGGGGGGTGGTTGGGGACGCCACCCTCCCCTCTCATCCACCTCGTCGCACTTCGCGTGGCGCCACGCACGTGTCTGTGTTTGTCTCCTTGTAACCGCGATGCTGTCGTCGGATCTTGCCTCGCAGTGCTGTGTGGCACGCGTCTCGATGGCGAACGCGAGAAGGGCGCCTTCGACGACCATGATGCCGATGGTGACTCGTGGGCGGACACGACTTCTGCTACAATTCCACCGTGCGTTCTAAAATCACCACCGCCGCCACCACCACCATCATCATTCACAACTCGAATGTTGAGCCGAAACGTCTCCTCGACTCACGGCTGCGTGCCAACGTCCATCTGCGGTGGACTCGTCTCTGCGTCCCGCCCTTCGCCGTTTGCGAATAGCGAGAAAGAGCATCAGCAGCGGAAGACGACGACGACTTTGGAGGATGGAGCCCTCGCAAGACCACAAGACACGGGCCAAAGTTTGGTGGCCGCGCAGGAGGCAGCAGCAGAAGCGGCGGCGGTAGCTGCTGGGCTATCCGTGACCAGCACCACCACCACCAACACCACCACCAACAGCACCACCAACAAGTGTCGACGGCGCCGCACAGCCTTCACCAGCGAGCAGCTGCTGGAGCTCGAGAAGGAATTTCACTCGAAGAAGTACTTGTCTCTGACGGAGCGCTCGCAGATCGCGCACACGCTGCGTCTGAGCGAGGTGCAGGTGAAGATCTGGTTTCAGAACAGGAGGGCCAAGTGGAAGCGCGTCAAGGCCGGCAACGGCGCCGCAAGGAGCGGCGAGCCGTCGAGAAACCCACGCATCGTGGTTCCCATTCCCGTGCACGTGCACCGCTTCGCTCTCCGAGGGCAGCATCAGCAGAACAAGCACCAGCAGCTGCAGGCTGAGAGCGGACAGAAGCAGCAGCAGCAGCAGCATCAGCAGCAGCATCGACAGCAGCAGCAGCCGAATCAGCAAACGGAGCATGAAGAACATCAGCAGCAGCATGATTATCGACAGCTTCATCGGCAGCGTCACCATCATCAGCAGCAGCAGCCGAATCAGCAAACGGAGCATGAAGAACATCAGCAGCAGCAGCAACATAATCATCAGCAGCTTCATCGGCAGCGTCACCATCATCATAATCAGCAGCAGCATCAAAATGAGCGTGGAAAACATCAGCAGCATCATCAGCAGCAATTGGATCTGCACACGGAACAAGAGGAACCGCAGCAGGAGCAGCAGCAAACGGAGCATGAAGATCATAAGCAGCATCATCAGTGTAATAAACCTTCTTGAGACGGCTTCCGGAATCAGTCCTTTTTATTTTCAACTTCCACAGTTACACTTCACACACTCCCCGTTGCTGACAGACAACGGAGAGAGGGCAGACTTCCCGCCAAGTCCCCACCGCGCACGTGGCACCCAGAGCCCCCGTACGCGCGTGACTCCTCTCTCTTTTAATCCCTTCGTCACGTGGTACCCCCCAGCCAATCCTCCATAGACAGCGTTGACCGTTCCCGATGGTTCCCTGTCAATCCCGGGACCACGCCTCTGATCCGGCTTCTCATTAGCTGAGGCCCCGATTGGCCAGGCCAATCACCCCTGCTAACATGCCGTGATCACGCCGAGGCCATGCTCCCGAGCTCATCCCTTATTGACTACAAAGCGGGACCGGCAAGCCAATCCCCACGTGAACCCTCTATGGCTGTTATTACATCAGCTAACGCAGTACCAAACACATGGACATTCCGATCATGAGCAACTTGAGCAGCACATTCAGGACTCCCAGCAACTTGCCGATACTGCGGCGAATGCAGAGACGTGATTTCGTCACAAGCAGCAGCAGTAGTAGTCAAACCAAGAGTCCGCAGAAGTGTATTTAAATAATGTTTAATATTTAAATAATCAAACGTACATGTTGATTGTAAATATACGGCGCGGCATGTATGCAGTTGGGTAGGGTTTAAAAGTTATGCTCACAATTCATCAGCAAATCGACGACTTGTTTCTGAAATGTATATATGTATATAAAACATATAACTTGTACTGTACACTGAATTTGATATCTGTACTTACATCACGTGAATCTTCGTTGAGTATTTCACACGGCGAGTTTCCTGCGACATGGTGAGGATCTGCCGACAACTTCTCGCAGCGAAACGTTTTTTGACCGAGCGGCAGAGAGGTGAAAGGCGCAGTGCCAGAGCCCTGAAAGTGCTTTTTGCTGGTGCCACTTTGCTTGCGGATGGACCTCTCAATAGACAACTCGAGAGCGCCTCTTTTTAAAGAGGGTAATTTGGCCTACTCTTCCACTCTGGCTAAGGCTTACCAGACTTTTGGGGGCAAGCGCTGTTTTGCGAGCAGCCCCTATGAAGGCCGGCACGGCACACGAGGGGATGGGGTGGCCATCACCACGCCCTGACCACCTTTTGTCTCCCTAAGTGGCGATGTTTCTACACCGCACCAGGTACTCATTTGAGGCCGAGTCGACCTAGGGGAGGCCCAGCACCGGTTCATATTAATCGTCGCTGGTTGTGCGTGGCCGCGCGCATGGAATAGAACTCGCGTCGTCGGGTTCGTAGCGCAGTGCGCTCCACCGCTCCCCATACCCACACTTTACCCCACCGCACAAACGCGACTTGCTGATCGAGTGGCTGTCGTGTTAGCCAACGTAGCCGTGCTGGGCGCACAGCAGCGGGCATGGTCGGTGGACACCGAGAAGATCGAATCTAACGGGACGCCCTTCGAGGTGGCAAGTCCATGCGTGCGCACCACGACAGCGACCCCGGGGCACGGCGAGACGTCACGAATCGTTGCTTGTGAAGTACTTGACCGATGAATTGCATTAAGCACTTTTATTGAAACAAGCGGCTTAAGACGTTGAGTTGGTGTTAACTGAACACGGAATAACACCCCCTCCCCCCTCCAGCCACCCACCCACCCCTGTGACTGTTCTTCATTTTACAATGTCTCATTTTTACAACTTCTCCAAATAAAACTGTCTCTACCGTCGTTATTTCATCCGTTAAAGCGGGAGATGAGGGTTTTTATTTTATTTGTTAATGCATTTACGTTTCCGAATCTCTAGAACGGACAGGCCATTTAAATAAACCAGCGTTCAGTAGAGGGTGATGCATTTATAGATACCCAGTGGATATCTACACCATTAATCACTCTCCCCCCCCCCCCCATGCCTTCAGCTTACGCAAGATTGTAATGTAAGCAAATCACACGGGCTATATAGAGGATGTTACGGGATGGGGCGGCGGGGGGAGGTGTTAAAATATTTAACGAGCATGTAGAGTGAGGTGGGAGATGTGTGGAGACTTTGAATTAAAACGTAGTTTTTTTTTACAAGAATTTGTCTATTTTAGTGGGGTACCTATAAATGGATCAGCATGGACAATATGAATGGATATCGACCCGCACATGACGATGTTGCATACCTGTCAACCCGTACGGTTTTAGCCCGTATTCTTGTCCAGGGAAATTGAGTTTTCAGGTCCATACGGCATACAGCCGTTTCGATACGGGCAACATTTTGTGTCAATGTGTTTGTGTTTCTCCCTTGCGATGTGACTTTGTAGGATGAACGTTGAGATGTATTAGGGGCACGGGGGTGACCAATACGATCTGAATTGGTCTGTAATAAGGTAGGGCACTGATGAGGGGGTTGACAGGTATGACTTTGTAGTGTTATAATAATTCACGATCATTTATCGGCATTTGTTAACCCCCCTGCATAGATGAAGGCCTCCACACGCTGTGTCGCTCATGGGCGTAGTTTGACCATACTTCACCACGATGGTCCGTGCGGCCTGGGCAAAGGGGGTGGTGTGGATGGGGGGGGGTGGGGGTCCGAGACTGACTTGAGAAATCGAAATCAAAATCAATTCACCACTGATGTTAGCCATGGCCGGGAATGGATTCAGGTTCAGAGTGCAATGTTTGTTGTCCCGTCCTGACCCCGTGCCCCTACTGTACAGCTGTGAAAAAGAGCTGTGTAGCTCATCGGATTCCTCCAGTAAAAATAAAATATTCTGATTTTGTGCAAACCACTGCGCCACCACTCCCCAGATGGGGAGCACAGTGGGCAGGGTGACATCGGACAGTGGTGAAATGTTTTGCATCTGTAAGAGTTGTAATGTTACAATGGTAGGTTTGTAATGCTCTCCTATAACATACAATTGTTATCACGGTTTTCTAGAACATCGTTCTTGACATGATATGGAGCCTTAAGATAGTCACATTTAGACACTACATTACACGTTACACATTGCATATCATTTAAGATTTTAAGTCTTGTATTTTGGTTACGAAACGCCTAAGCAACTACCAGAACCTCTATCGAGGGAATAAAAAAATAACGAAGTCAACATTTCCGCCCTTGAGTATACATTTGCAGGACACATTACACAGCATCAGTCTGGAATTGTGGATGTGTATCACGGTCAACATGTTTGTCTAGCACCAATAATAATTAATCACACACAGCCCTTTGTCAACAACACAGCTGGATGAAGGCCTCCCTACATTAATGAGATTTGCTTGACCATACATCACCATGCTGGTCATGGCGCAGTTCGCCCAGCATGGTTCAGATATCACGCCACCGCCACCAACAACGTCAGCTAGCTTTGGCCAGAAATAGGCCAAAGATAAGCGCTGTGAGAAAACCCAATCCCACCGCCAAAACCGGTAACAGCAATGTAATTTAGTATTGGCCCAGCAAGGAATCCAAACACACAAACTATATTTGCTTTAAACTAAAAACCTGTTTACATATACAGCATATATACTCTTTGATTGTTTTTCGGTAAAGTCACGTAGGTATGAAATAAAATAAATCACGACGTTTCGGGCGTCCGTCATCAGGTGGGAAAGCATGGTCTGCTGCTGAGGCAGACTGTTTTAAAATGTTTGAAATGAGAGTAACGGTTGTGTTGCGCCCGAAACGTCGTGATTTATTTTATTTTATACCTACGTGACTTTACGGAAAAAACCAAAGAGTATGGATTCCTGCAGTCACGAAAGCTTCAAATCAAGATATACAGCAAATGCCTGTGACCACACGACCTCCAATGTTCTGTACGTCGTGACGTTAGAGAAATGTTTGAAACTCAATTTCTGCAGCGACAAGTGGGTGAGAATTAATTCTTACAATAAATTACTGGCAAATGTATAGATGTTCAATTGCACGACTGGGGTATTGTGTGTGTATAGCCTTTGTTGCCCGGCAAAGCCCATGAACTGCCTAGACTTGAGAACCCTGTGTTAATTACAGGTGGCTGCATGAATCCAGACCCAGGATCTAAGTGATGCCAGCTCAACGTTGACCTCCAGATCCGCCCGGCCACCTCTACATAAAAAAAAAACGTGAATAGCAAATTGAGCCGGACGATTATGAAGTGGAAAACCAAAATCAATTGTTTGTCTTTTCTGACATGACATTCTCCCTGTCGCAGTAAGTTTATGTACAAATGGCGAATGCTTCATATCAGGGAAAGGTTGAGCCCTGCAGAAGGCTACTGCTCCACACTGGCCAGATATTTTTTGGAAGCTGTAATGGTACGCACACTTTGCGCCGCTACGCACGACCTGCCGACCCCGACTGTGAAAATGCTCTACCCGGTCCAATATTTGGAATGGATAGATTAAGGCATGAACATCCAATGGAGAACATAACAACCATCTCCGATTTTCTTACAACATAGCAACCAATGGAAATGAACTTCAGAGTATGATAGAACTTCATCAAGAATGCATCCGAGGTGACGACAACAGCAGCTACGGATAGTTGAGATCAGCTCGTGTGCAGGGAGGTCACAAGATGGATCAAGGCAACGCAAGAGAGAGCGGTTGATGGCAACGGCACAGGCAGGCTCTCATCCAGCAGTGGCTAGACCATGGCTGATATACAACGTAGATACCAGTCACACCATGCTTGCGTAAAACAACAAAGTACTTGGTACAGGCGACTGATGGCGACTTGGTGGAGTTTAACATGAGGGCAATCGTTTGCGACGGTCATCCTTCTCAGGTACGATCCCTCCTTTGCCTGCTATTCCCTCATATGGCTGCCATTCCATTCTATCACAATCACAAACCAGCAGTGGACATTTGAGGATATTTCTCCCACCGACTTGCAGTCTGCTTTTACACCGCAGCATGTATTATTTTTTGGTCAAGCAGTGATACAGCGGTTGGAGTATTTGCGCGACGAGCCTGCCGACCTGAATTGGATTCTCAGCCACAGCCAACATCATTGGTAAGCGATATCTGAACTGGTCGTTTTGCCTCTGTCTTCACGGACCCCACATTGACCAGCGTGACGTCCGGTCAAACTGCAACGACCGACACGGCACGGCGGAGAGGCGTTCGTCCAGCAGTGAATTGACAAAGCACTGTGGATAAGTTCTACGTAGTATTTGATAGCTGCGAAAAGCCAAGGTAATTCACACACACAACAATGTTGGGGGGGTTTCACTGGTCCCGAATGTGCTTGGCTGCCCAGCCAAGAACAACAACATCCTCAGGTGTTGTGTGCTCCATCTTTGCCGTCCTGGATCGAATGCAAGTAACTTGCTCCATGCGATAATTTTAAAGACCAAGTAAGCTACAGTAAGAGGAGATTGCATCATTCTTTTTACACATGGCAAGATACAATTCATTATGAATTGAGACATATCTGGCAGTAACAAATGGTACACAAGCGTAGTTTTGGGTCCGAATGTAAAAAAAACGACGAGCCTGGTTATAACGCTACAACCGTGCACAATATAATACAAACAAAAAACAGCGATAATGATAACAACGGGCTCATAGGAAATACTAAAAAAGTATAATAAAAAAACTTGTTTTTTTAAACAGTGCAATTTCAAATGATGGTAAAATACTGACAATATTTAAAGGCTTGCTCAAAGTCATATTTTGTACTCCCCACCACTTAGAAGTCGTTTCACACGATGAGGTTGGGGGAAAAAAAATATTTTTAAAATCAGTTTAATAATATTCCAACGTAACATTTTTCACTGCCATTTGGCTTCCAGGTGTGAGAAAACATGTCACTTGAGATTACTCTAGATGCACAATCTTCCCTTCCAACCTCACAAAACATTAGCGTTTTCCCCCACCCCCGCAAGTCGTTTGTTTTATAATTTCCAAACTACATGTTGGTTTAGTGCTCCAAAGTGTTTCGGGATTGTACCGCCGTTTTGGTTGGCATGACGTCCGATGTTTCACTCCACGTCCTGTGAGCCTTTTCAGGCAGAAACGTTTAAGGAACGAGTTCTGAAGGACGCTGCTAGCACACATGCTGCCATACACGACGGACAACATCAGGAACTGAAGGTGGTCTCCACAGCACGGTGGCGAGATGTTAAATGCTTCGCCTAGTTTACAGGAGGTCGTGGAGTGTTAGATCCAGTTTGCGTGTTCTCCCCGTGGTCATGTGGATTCTTCTCTGGGTCCTCCAGTTTTTCCCTCCACATTTAGAATCAACGTGCATTTTCGAGTATTTGGCTGCTATCAATTTCCACATGATGTTAAGATGCTTCATTGAGCTATCATTTGTGGCCAGGTCGCTTCTGAAAGAGATCATTGCAGCTCAGTGGGACTTCACCTGGTAAAGTTTCCCTCCACGTGCAGCGAAAACGTTCGGACGCCGTGCAGAACAACTCGCGCGGTACATGCTGTGAAAATGCGTCGCAGAGAGCTGTGACGGTGCAACCGTGGAAACAACCTACGCAGCAACACACGTTTGTTTTAGATGTCATTCAGGCCCCGCTTCGTTTGTGTAACAGACCACAATAAAACCTTGCAAAGCAGTTTGATTTACACAGACAGAAACCTCCCCCCTCCCCACCCCACCAATTACATTTGTAATAGCAAATAAAGCACGGTCAAAAAAATTATACAATTACAATATACATAGTGTAAAAAAAAAAACATCATCACACCGAGTATCACAGTTTTGTTCGTCCACTGCCATTACTTCCCGGGTCAAAGCCTCGCCCATTGCTGCTGTTGCCGCTCGCATGTCCGCTCAGAGCCACAAAGTCAAAGGCCCTTCCCTTGCTGTGCGCTTGGGAAGAAGAGTGCATCGCGGAGGCGTGCGGTGCATAGCCGGCTCCTGCACACTGCTCCGAGGGACTCCAGCTCGACACCGGAGACTCGAACCTCTGCTGCTGCTGCTGCTGCGCACCGCCCACGACCGACTCGGCGTTTTGTGCCGTCAAGCTGCCGCCACCACCGCCGGCGGCGTTGTTGCTGTAGTTGTTGTTGCGGCGAGCCAGGTTGGGGGTGGGGTTGAGGGAGCCCTCGCGGCTCGGAGGGGAGACGTGCGGCTCGTCGACGCAGCCGTGCTGCGTGAGGATGTCCAGGCACTCCTGGCTGCCGCCCCGGCGCGCGTACGCGAGCACGGAGTGACCGTGCGCGTCGCGGGCGTGCACGTCCGCTCCGTACTGTGAAATCAGAGACGGACATCCCCACCGCATTACAGCCTGAACAGACGGTTGTAAATCATTTCCATTTAAAGCTTTCGTGACTGCAGGGATTCATATTCTTGGTTCTTTCGCTAAAGTCACGTAGAAGGAAAATAATACATTAATAAACATAAAACAATACAATTCTCACGACGTTTTGATTGCAACACAAGCAATCACCATCAGGTGTGAAAACCAGAGCAAGAATTGATTTTTTAAACCGCCACTTTTTTCATTTTCATTATTATTTTATTATTTCCCTTCTACGTGACTTTACCGAAAGAACCAAGAATATGTTCTAAATCATGGTGTCGCTACTCACCCCGAGCTCTCATTACTCCGATAGTGCGTTGTCTTTGTGCTGTGTACGCCTTTTGGCGTCCTCTGGTCTAACACCGTTTTGAGACGAAGCTCAAAAGAAAGCTGTCTCTGGTGTGGACCAATCAGTTTCCAAGACAATGCATATATTGTCAGAGTACTTTTTTTTTGCATTCTGACCACAAGTATTGTGGTTAATGCAAACATGATTCCTTGTAAAAGGTTTAAGTTTGGTGTTTTAACATCTTAACACCTGTTTTGTTGCCAGAAAAAAAAGGGGAAAACTGATTCTCAGACTGTTCCAATTCATGGTCTAATCTACGTACAGCATTTTCAATACCACATTGAGACAAGTTAACATCACGTGGTCTCCACCATTAAGACTGTCGAATTGCTGCCCACCAAACAGCCCCACAGATGCCTATGACAAACCTGGCATGCATGGTCCCCGCCCCTGTTCGCACGCAATCCACGCTCAACCGTTAGCCTCCGACATCTAATGAGATCGGGCAAATTGTGGGTAATTTGTTCGTATGTGAGGCTACCCCTGAAGTATCCCTCCCCTTCATATCTCCGGAGTAAACATTCCGGAAACACACGTACACACACGTACAAAGACAAATATCCCCTGTATAGCCTTAATAGACTATAGGGGCAAGCGCTGTGAGCGATCAGCACTTACGAAGGCTGGCACAGCAGACGAAGGGGTGGATGGCCAACATCACGCCCGGGCTGCCTTTGTCTCCCGAGTGGCGATGTTTTACACACCGCACCAAGGTACTCATTTAAGAATGAACCGACCGAGGAAAGGCCCAGGACAGGTAATTTTCACTGGTGTTGGCCGTGAGCGGGAATCGACCTCGGGTCGCTGGTTTCGTAGCGCAGCGCGTTAAATCACTGCGGCGTGCCAACCTGCTGCGCGGCCACTGCTAAATCGCACACCGCACACACAGAGCCTTTGCAGCCTGTGTTCTATCATCTGCTAAGCCCAGCAGGTGCTGCACAGTAGACATGCGACCTACAAGATCGGCCGTGACAGTATAATTAAATATTTCTACCCCATGGTCGCCGGACTCTTAAAGACCACTCCTCCATTGCCTGGCTGTGTTACATAGTTAAATCATCAGCCATTATCAATCCACTGCTGGATGAAAGCCTCCTCCAACTGCAATCCCATGATGCAACAATCCATGCAGTATCGGCACACGCACTGCTCGACATTAGATGTGCAAAAATTCATTTCCCACAACGATTCTCTTTCATTATATGAAAGAGAGGAAAAGCAATGGAGGGAATATTGTTGTTATCCTCAAATAAATGTTATTTTTGATAAAAAAAAAAGACAACATTTAGACATTCTAAACAAAATGTGTATTTGTCTTATCAGGTAAGGCACACTGAGCTATATAGCTCTTTTTTAGAAGTGACCTGGCCACAAATGATAGTCTCAACAAAGTGGCTTATTACGTGTAAATGTTTAGTCACCAAATACTCTAAACGGACATTGATTCAAAATGGAGGAAAAAAACTGGAGGACCCGGAGAAAACCCCACGTGACCACGGGGAGAGAGACACGCAAACTCAAAATATACAGCAGCAGGCGTCAAGGGGTCGGGGGATCAAACCCACGACCTCCTGCACACCAGGCGAGGGAGTTAACATCACCGCGGCGCATCCCTTGCCTATAGAGAAGAGACGTACCCAGAGAAGCAGCTGAGTGAGCACGGGGTTGGCCATGGCGCAGGCGAGGTGCAGGGCGCAGCGGCCGTCGCCGTCCCCGTACGTCTCGTTGACGTCGGCCTGCGCGGCGTGCGCCAGCGTCAGCACGAGCGTCGCGAGGTCATCTTCGGCGCAGGCCTGCAGCAGCTGCTGGCCCAGCGACGCGCCGCCCTCTCCTCCCGCGCCGACGCCGACGCCACGGCCGCCGCTACCGGGGGCCGGCGCCACGAACAGGCGGTGCTCGTACTTTGCGCGGATCCACTGCTCCTTCTCCTCGCTGGCGGTGGAGAGAGGAGGAGGAAGAAGAGGAGGAAGGGGAGAATGATTGGTGATGAAAGCATTGCATTGACTTATGGCGGGGGAGAGGGGAAAGGTAGAGTCGTAACGATTGTCGATTGTGTTCACAACTGATCAACTGAAAGTCAACTTTTTTCGGCGGTTGATTACTCGGGCAATTTTAAAACCAGTGGCCGCCCCTACATTTACACATCGTAAGCGGGAACCCCCAACCAGCCACGCTCGGTGTGACGCAGCCGATGGTGACGATGATGCCAGGGCACGTCCATCACCTCCCGTCCAGCGACACTAGTGGGGACAGAGACTAGACACTTTTTTTTCTATTAACTACGTTCGTGTTACCTGTTTAGTCAGGCAATCATACCGGTTATTTAGGTGGAGTAAATGATTCCCTAGATTATCGGATAAACCAACTATCCAGGTACATTTTCATTACACTGAGGGACTAACAGGACTCTCCAAAATTCTTGGCGGGCAAACTGCACATTAACACTCACACCCAGTCACTTCTGTTACTGGAAAACAGCCTTTGCAGTGACAGAAATGAGTGACAGAACCACATTTATAAAACACTGTTTTTTGCCAGGTAAAAAAATATTCCCCTCTAGTACCCAACCCATGTGGCTAAGTTGCTTGTGCGAGGAAGCTGTAATACCTGGAGAAAACCCGCGCACTTAAGTGGCTAATATGCGCGCGTGTGTAAATTGAACTTCTTTCGCAACGTACGTAATCACACGGCGCTAATCCGAGGTGTGGGGGAAGGACAACAAACTAACAATACTGTACTGCACACAGGTGAAATTAAGAATCCATTGCTGTACTGCCATTTCCTGGCCGCCGCCACCACACAGCTCAAGCCTACAATACCTGGTTAGTCGAAAGATGGGCCTCCAACCAAAATAAATAACCAGGCTCAAAATCCGCTGAGTTTCCGAGACGTTACAGGGTCAGCCACAACTCATTGCTAAATGGTCGTATACGAACAAATTACGCAGCGTTAAGTGCTGTTTCTTTGGCTGTGTGTGTGTGTGTGAGCGTGCATAGGATGTAAGTGCGTGTACGCTTGAATAATCAGTTTAACACGTATTAGGCTTTCGCGACCAATATCATCTATAATACAGCTTTTTTTTGGGTTAGATCGCGTAAATATGTGTCGTTAAACCCGCCACCACCCGACACAGCCAACTAGTAAGGGTTGTCACGTAAACAGAACATGCCAATTCGTTACTAGTACAGCAACACCGGTGTGTTTGAGAGCAAAGCAAAGCTTTAATCACACATTTATATATTTACGCGATATACCTTAAAAAAAACCCTGTATTATGGATGCTTGAATAATAATAGCCCGGCAAAACAAATGACCCATGAGTGCCTCGCTAAGTGAGGATGGGGCTGCCATGATTAATTAAATTAGCCCGGGGTAGAAATTAATAGGTGCGATTCTGTCGCTGATTAGCTGCTAATTACACGAGGTCCTGGGACAAACACTGCATGCTGTTTTCACGGACAATAATTAATGCCAAATTAACGCCGCGCTCGTAACATCATCGGGGCCTCTTAAGCGTTCACCGTCCGTACACAAAATCGTTCGCTCATTTTAAATTTTAAATCGGCATTTTAAGGTGCCTGATGAAACGTAGATTAGTTATCGTATTCTCCCTATTATAAGACGTTTTGCAAAGTAAGATGTAACTCCCAAACATGGACTCGTCAATCTATATATATAAAATCGCGAATCTGTCTGTCTGTCTGTGTGTGTGTCTGTGTGTTGCCGGACCATACGCAGTTTCATTGGACGGCGGTTGCCCCTGGCAACGGGTAGCGACGCCTTCGCCGCTTTCATTGGACGGCGGTTGCCCCTGGCAATGGGTAGCGACGCCTTCGCCGCTTTCATTGGACGGCGGTTGCCCCTGGCAACGGGTAGCGACGCCTTCGCCGCGGGGTGGACGCCATTTTTAATTCCCGTTAAAAATAGGCGCACGCATTAACACGCGACTCTGAGGTAAATTCATCAAAGTTTCACGTCCTCTTCACTCCCCCCCCCACCACTATGTGTGCAATTACTATTATAGGGTCGGTAGATTATAAAATTATAGCGATTAGACAGTATTATTGTAGCGCGGGGGGGGGGGGGGGGGGGGGGAACGGCACCCGTACCCAGCCTCAGCCGGGTGGGAAAATCAGGCGAGGCCGGAGGCTCTGCACGGTGCTAGGCCTCGACACCCACCACACGACTCTGAGGTAAATTCATCAAAGTTTCACGTCCTCTACAGAGTGGTGAGGGAGGGAGAGTGGTGAGGGAGGGAGAGTGGTGAGGGAGGGAGAGTGGTAAGGGAGGGAGAGTGGTGAGGGAGGGAGAGTGGTGAGGGAGATTGCTGAGGGAGGGAGAGTGGTGAGGGAGTGAGAGTGGTGAGGGAGGGAGAGGGGTGAGGGAGGGAGAGTGGTGAGGGAGGGAGAGTAGTGAGGGAGGGAGAGTGGTGAGGGAGGGAGAGTGGTGAGGGAGGGAGAGTGGTGAGGGAGGGAGAGTGGTGGGGGAGGGAGAGTGGTGAGGGAGGGAGAGTGGTGAGGGAGGGAGAGTGGTGAGGGAGGGAGAGTGGTGAGGGAGGGAGAGTGGTGAGGGAGGGAGAGTGGTGAGGGAGGGACTCAGCCTCAAAACGAGTAACTGGTGTGGCGTATTAACATCGCCACTGGGGAGACAAAGGCGGCCGGGCGTGGTGGATACAAGTCCCGGGCGAAGCCGGGTAGTACAGCTAGTACATTTATACAATCCTGACATACAGATCAAGGGAGGTGGCCAGATGGCTCCGGGGTCAGAGCACAGAACTGGAAATTGATAACCTGGGTATCGAATTCAGGTTTAAATCTGGTTCTCAAGTATAGCGAGTTAGTGATCTCAGCCTGGTCACCAACAACTGCACAATTAAACGCATCATATTAACCCTTTCCCATTCCGAGGATGCGAGTGTACGTCGTTAGTTTATCTTTCGATTCCATTCCGATGACGTACGTGTAAATAAAATAAGTGTATCGGTACCTAGGCTCTCACAAGGCCACGCGGGAGAGAGCGTGTGGCACAGTTTGGCGTCAGCTATCGTAGAGTTGGGGTGGTGTCTCTACAGTTCTCTGCGGTGAGTACAGTGTCTTTAAATACAACAGCGTGATGCCTCTCGAAATAAAATCCAATGCTGAACCGCTTGCGTGCTCCGAGATTGAGCAGTTCAGTTTCATTTATTTGGTATAGCCCTGTGAGCCATTTGGCTCTTGAATCGGGTGCAACCACAACAAACAAAAAACAAAAACATGAACAAGAAAACATCTTAAAGTGACTATGCGCAAACAGAAACATCCAGGAAAAAACTGCAAAGTCTTCCAGAAAAAAAGCACCATACACCAACGCTGTGCAAAAATCCCAGTGGGATGCAAGTCAAACAACAACAACAGCCACCACAAGACAACTTAGATTAAAGCCATCATTCTAACTCCGTACAACAACAAACAAACAAACATGGCCAAACCAAAAAACGGTGAACGGGACCCCCCACCCCGCAACTTGCAGACGTCTCGGAACGGGAAAGGGTTAATCGAGCGTAATCCCCAGTTGAGTATGAACACAAAATTGTTTTATTGACACGTGACAAACACCCTTTGGATATCAAAGGTGTGGGTCTCCCCCGAGGTGACTTCGAATGTAGTTCTGTGACGTCATCTTCAGGGGACATGCTCTGAGGTGGGGTTATGCAATGCTAGCGGCAAGAGTTCTAAATAGATATTTATTAATTTCACCAAATGACACCGATAGCAAAATTGGATTACAATCGGGATAAAACATTAAACTGAGGGGTAAAGGGACGTATCACCGTGTACAGTATATTGGACCCAACATCAATTAAGAGCAGATTAAATTAATGTACAAATTCATTCATGTCAGCCCCGTATCAGTGTCCTACCTTATTAAAGACCAATTCAGACCTTATTGGTCACCCCGTGCCCTTATACATCTCAACGTTCATCCTAAAAATGTCCCATCACAAGGGAGAAACACAGACAATTTTTTTGTTGCCCATATTGAAACAGCTGTACGCCAAATGGACCTGAAAACTGAATTTCCCTGCACAAGAATACGGGTAAACCGTATGGGTTGACGCGTATGCAAATTCGACGTAATTAATTGCATTCATAGGAAATAAAATATGCTGGAATAATCACATGGCTTGAGGAAAAATGGCAAAATTACAAGGAATGCAATTTAGGTGCGTATTTAGCCAATTCCACACCTTTGATTAGCACGGTTGGATAAGTACGGTACAAAAGACGTTCAGCATACATACTGGCCATAACTAACACTACCCATAGACTCAACACTGCACCTCCGATTAGCACGGTTGGATAAGTACGGTACAAAAGACGTTCAGCACACATACTGGCCATAACTAACACTACCCATAGACTCAACACTGCACCTCCGATTAGCACGGTTGGATAAGTACGGTACAAAAGACGTTCAGCACACATACTGGCCATAACTAACACTACCCATAGACTCAACACTGCACCTCCGATTAACACGGTTGGATAAGTACGGTACAAAAGAAGTTCAGCACACATACTGGCCATAACTAACACTACCCATAGACTCAACACTGCACCTCCGATTAGCACGGTTGGATAAGTACGGTACAAAAGACGTTCAGCACACATACTGGCCATAACTAACACTACCCATAGACTCAACACTGCACCTCCGATTAGCACGGTTGGATAAGTACGGTACAAAAGAAGTTCGGCACACATACTGGCCATAACTAACACTACCCAGACTCAACACTGCACCTCCGATTAGCACGGTTGGATAAGTACGGTACAAAAGACGTTCAGCACACACACTGGCCATAACTAACACTACCCATAGACTCAACACTGCACCTCTGATTAGCACGGTTGGATAAGTACGGTACAAAAGAAGTTCAAGATACATCCATA